GTGGCAGTTACGGTGTGTGCCGTACATGATGGAGCTCACGCAGCACTCCCAGCATCGCCGCTGGGCGTCAGCGGCGAGTGGCAGCAGACAGTTCGGCGAGCGCGCCCTAGCCGAGGAGCGTTGCGAGGAGGCACGGAGAGCGAGTCGACCAGGCAGAGTAGCGATGGTCGAGCACCTCCAAATGCGGGTGGAACTGGAGACCTGGGCTGGGCTGGGCGCTGCTTTGTCAAGGCATTGGGGCTCCTTGGAGAGGACGAAACAGGAGTTCAGAGACCTTTCGGGGCCCAGGGCACAAGCGAGCGACAGCGACGGTCAGCAGAGAGTCAGCAAAGGCTTGGTACTTGGTCGTCAGATGGCGCGGCCAGGAATGTGCATTCCCTTGGAGCCATCGAGAGGGCAGTAGAAGGCGACGCTGCGCGCGGGCGACTCGACCCCGAGGCGGCCACGCATCCGCGAGCTCAGGCGACTCAGCGGGCCTTGCAGTTGTGGCGGGAACAGTTTGAGCGATGAGGCGCCCACGCGGCTGCGGGTGGCTGGCGTGCCTGGCGGGGGCAGAGACAGCTGGACAGTGGAGTGCGTTCAGCACTTGGCCCTTGCGCTGCACCAGGACGGGTTTGACATTCTCTTGGAGCTTTTTCCCGCAACCGGGCGGGCGCCCCGGGGTTGCAGCGCGCCCACGACATTTGCAACAGGGCGCGGGGGGAGCGCGGGGAGGAGGGCAAACCCGTCCTGGCGAGAGGATTGGCCAGGGCCGTGCCTCAGCCGCGTCATGCCGGGGCAGCTTGCACCGAGCGAAGGTCGCAGGTCGGGGTCCCGTTCGCCATCGAGACAGTTGCGAGCACAATTTTCTGCCCGAGGAGCATGGTGCGGCAGGTCAATCAAGGGGCACTGGTGATGATGTTTTTCGCTTTCCCCCGGAAAGGGCATAAGCCTAGGGTTTTCTTTTAGTTGGTTTACCTCCGGGTTTGACTTGAGGTGGGCCGGCGAATTTGTTTTGCAGAAAATATCGAGGTCGAGGTGGGCCGGCGAATTCAAATTTTAGGATGTCCCTCGCGCAACGCTGGTTTTTGAAATCGCGGTCGATAAATCACTGGATGCGGGACACGTTTTGGTCCGGGGCATGGATTACGCAATGCCTATAGATTGGCCCCATCCAGGGGTACGTATCTGTGTGTGTTTTACGTGTGTTCCTATAGATGGGCCTTCTCGTTACCCATCGAGTGGCTCTCTCCAGGGGCACGGATACATGTGTTTTATGTATATTCCTATAGGTTTGCCCTCTCCAGGAATGCGTGCGTGTGCTCCGTAGCCATTTTGTCTCAAGCCGTTCCCTTTCTGCTCGCTCTCGTTTTGGGCCCCGCGGGAGGCCGCAGTGATCGGGCGCTTGGGGAGATGGCTGCGGGCGGCGGCCAAGCAGCCCGCGCGGCTGCTGAGCCGCCACGCGCTGGGGGCTCCCTCTGGCCCGCGAGGCGCTCCAGGCAGGCGGCGGCTCGCGCTGCCTGCGCTGGGCGGCTGCAGGCGGCCCTGGCGCGGGTGGCCGACCTCGAGGCGGAGCGCGTGCGGCTCCAGGCGGAGCTGGGCCACGTGCTGGACGCTAGCCAGGCGGTGGCCACGGCTGCGGCGCGCGCAGCCGCGCAGGAGGCCCGCGGCTCCGGGGCCCCTGCGGCGGATGCTGTCCATGACGGTGGTGGCCTTCCTGGTGCTGGCTCTGGCGGCGACGTCGACAGCTTGTGCGAGGACTCCGCGGACCTGGACGGCAAGAGGGACCCGCTGCTCCGCGCTGCGGCCCCCGAGGTCGTCGCAAGGCTGGCGCTGGTCGCGCCCGTCATGGCGGCGGACCTCTTCAACGAGCCTGCAACCACCCTGGACGTCGGGCGTCGGAACGTGGTCAGCCACAACCCGACGATCTCGGCGGCGGAGGTGCGCAGGCTATCTCAGCGGGCGCTCAACCGCCTGCAACGCTCGGCTGCTCCGAGGGCACGGCGGGGTCGGCATGGAGGGCAGCCTCGTCACGGTCGCAGCGCTGGTGTTCGCGGCCGTGGAGCTCTTCCTCCTCTTCGCCCTGCTGGTGCTGGGCCTCCGGAGCGGCTGCGGCCGCCTCGCGGGGCTTCCGGCGCCCTGCCCCACCGGCGCCAGCCCGCGGCTCGCTCGGCCGCCGAGGGCGCGTCGGCTTCCTGGGAGGTCGCCTGCCGCCGCGGGCGCAGCCTCCCAGCGGGCGCCCGCTTCGCTCTCGCTGGTCGAGTGCGTCTTTCGGCTGCCCCCGTGCCCGCCCCGCTCGCCTCGGGGCCCCGCTGGTGGGAAGGGGACCTCGAGCATGCGGAGCAGGGCTCGGCCAGGCAGCTTGCCTGCCACGAGTTCGGAGGCGACCTGAAGGAGCTGGACGGCTTCAACCACTCCGCGGCGTGCGCGAGTGCGGCCTCGAGCGCGCCCCCTTCGGCTTGCGACGCGGACTTCGTGGTGGCGGAGGGCCCCGAGGCTCTCGCCGTCGGCGCTGCGGCTGACGACGTCGACGACGGGCAGGGAGACGCCTCCGCGGTGTTCATCTCGGCCGACGGGCTCGAGGAAGGGCCCGAGGAGGATGTCGTGGAGGAGGTGCACGGCGACGTGCTGGAGCTGGTGGTGGGGGGCGCCGCGGCCCGCGCGCCCGCTCCCCAGCTTGGCGCGGCGGTTCGTGCTCGCCTTCGCCTCGATCGACTCCGACTTCAGGTCGTCAAGGGTGCCGCGGTGCCCATCGACGACCGCGACCTCCGCAGACCTGGCTGGCAGGCCGCCGATGCCGCAGCTGGGGTGGAGGTGCCCCCGACGCCTGCCCAGCAGCGCGAGGGGCCCCGCTGGGCGAGGCGGCTTCTCGCTGATCCTGGGGCCTGGCGCGGAGGCGCGGTCTGGGAGCCTGAGTCCATCGAAGAGGCGGCCAGACGCATCGACGGCGAGGGCTCGCGCCGCGCCCGCCGTGCCGCTCGCTGACCCAGCGCGCCCGCTGCCGCGGCGACACTCCTCGAGCTGTTGCGGTTGCCTCTGGGCGCACTTCTGCTTCTCACCTTTTGTGAGCGAGGTGGGGAGTGCCTTCGGTGGTCTGGGCCTTTTCAGGCTCGGCACGGGGTGGATGGTGGCTCGCGTGGCCGCCTCACCTGACGGCGCACACCCACGTGGCGTGGCGAGTGTGCTGCAACTTGGAGGCCGCTGTTTACGGAGCCTCCTGGCCGCATTTTGCGGCTCTCGCCTTCTTGGCGGCTCTCGCCATCTTGGCGGCAGGATCGGTTCGTGCTGCACGGGCTGCCTTGTCATTTAAGGAATGCGTGTGTTCCCATATATTGGCCACATACAAGGGGCACGCAGGCGCGTTTTTTTACGTATGTTCCTATAGATGGGCCCTCTCATTACCTATAGATTTGCATTCTCCAGGGGCACGAATTCGTTTGTTTTTTTTTTACGTTCATATTCCTAGATTACGTGTGTTCCCATATATTGGCCCTCTCCAGGGGCACGAATCCGTGGTTTTTTGCGTATATTCATATGAATGGGCCTCACATTACTTATACATTGGGTCCCTTCAGGAACACGAATCCGTCCCCATGGCACGTCGCTTGGTGCGTCCCTTGGGACGTTCCGCGGCGCGTCCTCCTGGCAGGTCCCCCTGTCGATTAGGTCTGGGGCACCTACCATCTGCTCAGGCAGCTCGAGCTACGGCCCAGCACAGCACGGCCGTCGGCACGGTACATCAAAATCGACACACTCAACATTGCACCTTGGCGCGTTCCTTGGCGCGTTCCGTGGCGAGTCCACCTGGCACGTCGCGCGGCGCGTCCCCTGGCACGTCTCGCGGCACGTCCATTGGCACGTTTCGTAGCGCGTCCCCTTGGCACGTCCCGCGATGCGTGCCCACGGCGCGTCCCCTGGCACGTCGCCTAGCGCGTCCCTTGTGACGTTTCGCGGCGAGTCCTCCTGGCATGTCCCCTCAGTAGATTAGTTCTGGGGCAGCTACCATCTGCTCAGGCAGCTCAAGCTTAAGATCCAGATCAGTTCGGTCAGGACTCGGATGCCAGGGAGGACTCGATCCACAACGCTGTGTAGAGCACAGTCGCGGCATGGCGCATCGCAATTCAGCACAGCGCTGCACAGCACAGCACTCGGCACGGTACATCGAGATCGGTACACTAAGCATTGCGTTTGCCCGTCGCTCAATCAGGTGTCTTTAAAAAAAAAAAAAAAAACGCTGCCATGTCTTACGTTTCTATATATTCCTTTTCGGCTTCGTGGGTCGACCATGTTTTTTTGTTATCTTTACGAGGAGGCTGGGGAGTCCCTGGCTGCGGGCCACGTCGACGAGGTGGTGTTCGGCGACGTTGGTTTCGAGGAAGGCGAGGAAGAGCAGCCTGTCGAAGTGCCGTCTGGTGCTGGCGACGCTCGCCACCGAGAGGAGTCGGAGGGCGAGCGGCGCGGCGTCGCCGACGTGGCCCCATAACGAGCCCAGCACGCCAATCCTCTCCTGGGCTGGGCCTCGCGGCAGCGCTGGCATTGGCGGCAGGGGCAGCTTTGAGCAACTCCACGGGCTTGCATAAACAGGGAAGAAGGTGCTGAGGAAGGCTAAGCTGTTCCAGCTGACAGATCCAGGTCCCGCCCCGCGGTGACGCGTGCGGCGGCGTCAGCAGTGCGCAGAGGGTGAGAGAGAGAGAGGGAGTGAGAGAGGAAGAGCGGAAGAGCGCTGAAAGAGAGAGAGAGAGAGAGAGAGAACAACAAAAGAGAGAGAGAGAGAGAGAACGAGAGAGCAAGAGAGAGAGAGAAAGAGAGAGAGGCAGAGAGAGGGAGAGAGAGAAGAGAGAAGTGAGCATGGTGCATTTTCCCCGTCGTCATCGTCTTCCCCCTCCGCCACCCTCCCTTAGCCGGTGCTCAGCGCGGTGGAGTCCCCTCTTCCTCGGGGGTGCGGCTGGCAGCTCTCGCAGGTCAGCCAAGGGGTTGCCCCTCCCTTCCAGCTTCCCTTTCCGGAATCTGCCAACCCGCAGGCGCCCGAGGGTCTCACCGACGACGAGGTCAGCCGGCTCGAGGAGGCTCGACGATCCCACGAAGTCGGCCGGCTGGAGATCACGTGGGGGGGAGAGTCGGCACCACCGCTGTCGGGCCACAGCCACCGAGGAGGTCCACGATGCCTCCCCAGGCTGCAGATTGGAGAAGCCTAGAGCGGGGCGCCCGATGGCAGGGGGCTTACACCATCATGAGGATCCCCCCTGTCAGGAGGGACAAAAAACACACAGACACAATTATCCCGGCAAAGCAACCTAACAGCGATGTGTAGAAGCATATCTGGAAGCATTCTCCTTCAGATTCAGATCAGAATCCAGTTGTAGAATTCTGCTGTTCTCGCAGTCGCAGTCGCATTCGCGATGACAGTCGCAGTGGCAACGGCATTCGCAATCACAGCCTCAGCCTCAGCCTGCCTGAGTATCAGCCTGCCTCACTCTCAGCCTCAGCCTGCCTCAGCCTGCCTCAGCCTCAACCTAAGCCTGCTTCAGCCTCAGCCTCAGTCTGCCTTCAGCCTCAGCCTCAGCCTCAGCCTCAGCCTGCCTCAGCCTCAGCCTGCATCAGCCTCAGCGTCTGCCTCAGCCTGCCTCAGCGTCTGCCTCAGCCTGCCTCAGCCTCAGCCTCAGCCTCAGCCTCAGGCTGCCTCAGCATCAGCCTGCCTCAGCCTCAGCCTCAGCCTGCCTCAGCCTCAGCCTCAGCCTGCCTTCAGCCTCAGCCTCAGCCTCAGCCTCAGCCTGCCTCAGCCTGAGCCTGCATCAGCCTCAGCCTCAGCCTCAGCCTCAGCCTGCCTCAGCGTCTGCCTCAGCCTCAGTCTGCCTTCAGCCTCAGCCTCAGCCTCAGCCTGCCTCAGCCTCAGCCTGCCTCAGCCTCAGCCTCTGCCTCTGCCTCAGCCTGCCTCAGCCTCAGCCTCAGCCTGCCTCAGCGTCAGCCTCAGCCTCAGTGCCTCAGCCTCCGGGCATTCAAAATGTGGCCCGGGAATGGAGTTCTGGGAAGTCGAAGAGCACGAAGTGGCCTACAGTTGGCTCCGGGCATTCAAAATGTGGCCCGGGAATGGAGTTCTGGGAAGTCGAAGAGCACGAAGTGGCCTACAGTTGGCTCCGGGCATTCAAAATGTGGCCCATGAATGGAGTTCTGGGAAGTCGAAGACCACGAAGTGGCCTACAGTTGGCTCTGGGCATCCAAAATGTACGCCGGGAATGGAGTTCTAGCAGCGCCAAGAGCGATTTTGCGAGGATGTCCCAGGCGATTTGGGCTTCGGCGGCAGCCGCCCCGGGTCCCGCCCCGACCCCCCTGAGGAGTCATGATGCTCTCTTTTGACACCACTAGAAACCTATCAGTCTTCGCTGTTAGGTAATTAATCGTCGATTCCCCAGAAAATATGTGAAAATATGGGAAGTGGGGGGGAAGACAGAAACCCAGAAAATATAGGAAAATATGGGGAATCGTTCTATTTGTGTGTATTCATTTGTGTGTCCCAGGGCCACTTCACCCTTGCCCTCCTCGCGATTGGTGGCCCCTGTTAGGCTCGTGCTCCCCACGAGGGTGTGGCCCCCCTCCGCCCCAGGCCGTGAACTCTAGCAGCGACGGGGCGACCCAGTCGGACGGCATGCTCACCAGAGCCCCAGGAACAAGCGTCAGAGTGTGCTGCGGCTGGCCCAGGCCTTGGGCGCTGGAGCGTGCCTCGTTGAGACCATGCTGCGTCACTGCACCGCACCTCAGAGCACGAACTGTTCGCACCGCACCGTCATCTGCTGTTCGAGGACACTTCTCGGAAAGAGACCTCGTGGCAGGCCCACAGGCAGAGACTGCGACGGCCGGTCTTTGCTGGGTTGGCGCATGCGGGCTTGCACACAGGATGCCCGGGGAGCTCCACCGCGAAGGCGTCGGGAGGAGCAGCAGGAGGATACGGAGGACGACGAGGAGAAGCTGCGAGGATGATGGGGGTGCTGGTTACGCGATGGCGCGTTGATGACGACGATAAGGCAGCGGTGAAAACCGTGCTGGTGATGTGACGGTGATGCTGGTGAGAGGCGACGAGGGGGCGGAGGAGCAGCAGGCGGGAGGAGGACCGTGAGGTCGTCCCTGGGGCTCCCGAGGGCCGCCTGGAGGCCTCCTTGGGCCGCCTCGGGGCCCATGGGAAGCCCCGAGGCGCGGGGGTGCGCATGCGTGAGCCCCCCGGTCTCCCCTTGTCAACACCGCCTCGGGGGCCTTGAGACGGGGGTCAATGCAAACGGGGGTCAGCCAGAGCGCCCGATCTTGCAGGATCCTGCAGGGCCAGGGTCGCATTGACCCGGGTGTGGGTGCAGGATCCTGCAGGATCTTGCAGGATCCTTCGCATTGACCAGGGGTCTGGGTGCAGGCTCTTGCGGGATCTTGCGGGATTTTGCAGGCCTGGTTGACCCGGGTCTGCATTGACCCGGGTCAGTCCGTCCCCGACAGCCGAGCATCTGACTCAGAGCCCCTCCCCCCTTCCAAAAAAGCTGGGCCGGCGTTCCGTGACCCACTCGCCGAGAAGCTGCCCTCAGTTTCTGGAGCTCGCTCGCCCCGCCAGCGCTAGAGCCACAGAGTTTGGCCCAGGTCTGCCTGCCGAAACTTCCGGGAAGCGGGCCCGGGTTTCATGATTGACGAGCGTCGGGGCGGGTGGTGATGGGGGGTGGCCCAAATGGGGGTGAAGAAGAGGATCCTAAAGGGGCCCGTTGGGGCCCCTGTTGGGCAGCAGGGCCCTGTTCTTCACCCCCCCATGTGGGCCCACCCCCCCGTTTCCACCCGCCCGAGAGCGTCTTGATCGCCTGTTCGGCGGTACGCGAGCCCCCCCCGTGTCCTCTTGCCATAGGCTGGCCGGCGTATGTCTTGCTTGTGCAACCAGCCCGCGTAGTAAGCATGAGCGACTTCTCAAGGTCGCCCTCGCACCCTTCCCCCTTCGGCTCATCCTTGGCCGCTTTCGCTGGCCGCGCCCCGCTCGCAAACTGTCGGCATGGCCTTCCAGGGCCCTTGCATCCTCATCTTGCGTCCCTATTTACGGGTTGATTTCGCAGACGGCAAACGGCATAAACATAAGCTTGTGGCGCGCGCTGAGCCCCCCCGGTAGCGCCTCCGGCGCCGCCCCTGGCGCGCTCCGCGCGCCAGGAGGGGTGCCCCAGCGCAGATCCAAGAAATCCGCGCGGAGCGCTACAAGACTGTGTGAATGCCGTTTTCGTTATTTTCTAAGGAGGGCGTATAACAATAATAATAATAATAACAACAATAATAATAATGATAATGATAATGATAATGATAATGATAATGATGATGATGATAATAATAATACTAATAATGGTAATAATAATGGTAATAATAGTAATGGTAACGAATTTAATAACAATGAAATGACAATAAGCCGATATAAATCACATTCAGACATATTATTGCATAGGCTTGCTAATGCAATTTAATTGATGTGAAGGGTGGGTTTTGTGGTTTGTTAGTGCAAACTGATGTGTTTTCCTTGCCTGGGTTCCATGTGGGAAGACGCCAGGCTCCTCCTCCCGCCCCCTCCGCCGGGCCCTGGAGCCCTCTCGAGCCCTCTCCTGGGGGCCCACCCTCCTGGAGTCTTGGCCTCGCGCAGAGGGGGGGGGGGGAGGGGGAGGGGGCCCGGCGTCGATTCAGCATCGACTAGCGTCGATTCAGCGTCGACTTAGCGTCGACTCGCGTCGATTTAGCGCCGAATTAGCGTCGATTAGCGTCTTTTTTGGCGTCGATTTAGCGTTGAACAGCGTTGATTTAGCGTCGATGTGGCGTCGGTTCGCAAGATTCAGCGTCGATTCAGCATCGACTAGCGTCGATTTAGCGTCGATTTAGCGTCGACTAGCGTCGATTTAGCGTCGACTGGCGTCGAGTAGCATCTTTTTTGGCGTCGATCTCGCAGGAGCCAGCGTCCTTTTTGGCGCCGACTGGCATCGATCAGCTTTTTTTGGGCGTCGATGAGCGTCTTTGCTGGCGTCGATTGGCGTCTTTTTTAGCGTCATTTTTGGGCGTCGATTTCGGGTCGACTGGCATCGAGCAGCGTCTTTTCTGGCGCCGATTTGGCGTCTTTTTTGGCGTCTTCTTTAGCCTCTTTTGTGGGGTCGATTTGGCGTCGACTGGCATCGAGCAGCGTCTTTTCTGGTGCCGATTCGGCGTCTTTTTTGGCGTCTTCTCTAGCGTCTTCTGTGGGGTCGATTTGGCGTCGACTGGCATCGAGCAGCGCCTTCTCGGGCGCTGATGTTTCGCCGGCTGCCAGCGCAGGCGGCCCCCCGGGGAGGCTCCCGGGCGCGGCCCTCGAGCGGGCCGCGCGCCGAGGGAGCTCCTCCTCCTCCTCCTCCTCCTCCTCCTCCTCCTCCTCCTCCTCCTCCTCCTCCTCCTCCTCCTCCTCCTCCCCCTCCTCTTCCTCCTCCTCCTCCTCCTCCTCCTCCTCTTCCTCCTCTTCCTCCTCCTCCTCCTCCTCGGGGGAGGAGAGGGCGAGGGCGGAAGGCCTCTGCTGACTGCTGTGGAGGGCGATCCGTGGGGAGGCCTCCTTCTGGGACGTGGGGGGGAAGACGAGAATAGACGCAAATCCCAGGAGTCCCCATATCTTTCCCATACGTTATGGGTTCTCCAAGGGCGGCGCCGGAGAACGTTCCCATACGTTCTCCGGCGCCGCCCCTGGCGCGCTCCGCGCGCCAGGGAGGGGGGTCCAGCGCCGATCCGAGAAATCCGCGCGGACCTCCGAGTCTTTATGTTTATGCCAGTTGTTGTTCCCCTAGAGAACCCAGAACGTCTGGGAAAGATATGGGGACTCCTGGGATTTGCGTCTATTCCTCTGCGTATCCCTGGGCCCCTTTACCACCCTCCTCGCCGCCCCCAGGGTTGTGGAGGACGATCAATGGGGAGGAAGCATGTTGCCAGATAATTGCCAGATGTCTAAAACATGTAAAACACATGTTTGAAACATGTAAAAAAACATGGTTAAGCCATGTCTAGAACATGATCCGACAGTTTAAACACATTCTGAATTCAAAACAAATTCGGAAGC